TTTAGTGACTTCACAACGCTTTATTTACCATTACTATACTTAACATCACTATACAAGAGGGACCGTTCGGTTTGCAGCCCTACTACGACTTCCCTCGAGCCAGGAGTAGGGGTAGAGGGTGCATGGAAACTATGGCGCGTTAGTGTACATATAGTTATAATTTACCTTTCGTAAACTGCACTTATCTAATTACATAACTAGAACTGAAATGCATTGCTTTTCTTTTAACCTTCCCTTCTCTGGTACTGCATATATATGTACATTCTGTGTCCTTAGGTAAAGTTTTATGCAAGATTTGACACTCTACTAGTATTATTTTCTAAGTGAAATACTGAGATAATACAGTGCAGTATATGGGAAAATAAAATGTTCTGTTTATACGGGGTGGGAAGTAGTGGAGGGAGCGCCGGAATCCACTTGATGAAGTCAGCAAAGCTCCACCCACCTGCGCTTATGTTAACCTCCTCTTCTATGGTCTTGGCCAGGGGGTTACCGGTAACGAGGGCTGCCGAGAGCTTGCCAGGGCCTCGGGGAAAGATGAATTTTGGGGCTCCCATTTAGCCTTTGAACAATGTTAAACAAAAATCTAAAACAGTTTGTTCAATGTACCTATTTTTAGAGTTCCGTTTAATTCGATTAACTACTTTACAAATTAATTAAATATTTACATCCCTTTTCCCGGGACCCCTAGAGGCCCAGGCCCCGGGAATTTATCCTTCCCCGCTCTTTCAGTGGCCCTGCCTGTAATCCCCCTTTTCCCACCTCTCCACAACCCCCCATCCCCACCAAGACACTAATGCAAGGGTTGATGATAAAATCACTATAATACTTATACAGTACAGCGATATTTTCAACTCGTAAAGAATTGATACAGGTATTGACAGTAAAAATGTCAATAAAATACCATACCATCCGAGGGGTAGGGGTAGAGGGAGTTAGCATTTGCTTAAATAACACTCCAGTGCTATGATAGGACCCTCGTTGTGAGAGAGCCCTCGCCATACCGTGTGGGACCGACTATACCACACGGAGAGGGAAATACTACAGCCACATATCATCTTCTACAACATTACCCGAGAGGGAAGTTCAACATCTATATGAAATGCTCCACAACACCAAATTATCAGTGATTAATAATAACCTGTATCTTCACTCTATGTCTCCTTTTTGTATTGACAGATTTGGTAAGTAATCCACTCCTCAATACTACTACTATACCTAATACTGTAATCCCAATGTTACCATTGTATATTTTCAGCCTTTGACTGCTGTGCTCTTCAATAATCGTTAATTATTATTATTATTATTATTATTATTACATACTGCAACTTTGCTGTCACTTGGAATCGAGTATGACGATCCTCCAGCTATGATACAATGATATGAGTTATTAAGGATGTACACCTAGGTTGGTGAGATCCGAGGTGACTAAAGAGGCCGATACAGGACCGGCAGGGTCGATCACAAATGTTGCACATGTGGGGTCTACATCTAATGCAGGAGGTCGGCAGCAGCTTCTTTCTGGTGTTGGCGCTTGTCTGCCTCGTTAAGCAGTCAGGCTAATTTGAAAGTATTGACCCCTTCTTGTGTGGTGGTCCTCCAAGCGTTACGGTGTGGAGTAATCGTCTCCCAGGTGAGGAGGTCGATTACCAGGTTTGTCTTAAGACTATCCTTATATCTTTTCAGTTGTCCGCCAGCGTTACGATTACTCTTCGTTAGGTGACTGTAAAGTAGCTGCTTTGGCAGTCTACTGTTGTCCATGTGGGTAACATGGCCAGTCCAGCGTATTTGTATTTGGATAATGGTAGCCTCAATGTTTCTACAGTTGGTGTCAGCAAGAATTCTGGCATTTGTTCTCTTGTCTTCCCAGCGAACTCGGAAGATGGAAGGCATACTACATTGGTAAAAGTTTTGAAGTGCCTTGATGTGCCTCCTGTATGTAACCCATGTCTCACTGCCATATAGCAGGGTGAGGAGGACCACTGCTTGATATACGTGTAGCTTTGTACATAATTTCAGCTCCCTAAAGCTGAAGACACGGTTTCGGAGTCTGCTAAAGGCTTGAGATGCACATCTGATCCGATGCTGAATCACTTCATCGATGTCCGCGGTGATGGACAGATGGGAGCCGAGATATCGAAAGTGGGTAACATTAGAGAGGGTAGTACTGTTAAGCTGCATGGATGGTGGAGGTGTGGCTGAACTAAGGGCAGGTTTTCTGGATCTCCTGTAGGTCGCGTTCAGTGTGAGCGACAAGGGTGAGGTCGTCTGCATACTGTAGTTTAGTAATGGAAGCTGCCGACACCTCTGTTCTTACATGGGGTCGTCTTATGTTGAAAAGACCCTTCATTCTATACACGATGTCCACCCCGCCGGCTAAGTTGGGGCTGACACAAGTAAGGAAGACAGCCAAGAAAAAGGAAAAGAGAGCTGGTGCCAGCACACACCGTTGTTTAACTCCCGTTTGGATGGGGAAGAACTCTGACTGGGTGCCCTTGTGCAGGACACTGCCGTTCGTGCAATCGTGGAGTTGCCTCACAATGCGGATGACTTATGGTGGTCAGCCAAAACGGCTGAGGGTCCACCAGAGGGCTTCCCTGTTGGTAAGGTCGATGCAAGCCATGTACAGGTCACGATGTTGTTCTCTGCAATTTTCCTGTATCTGACGGGCAGCACAGATCATGTCAGTGGTGCTACTTGGTGATTTAAAGCCACATTGAGATTTTGGGAGGAAGTTTTTCGCCTCAAGAAGAAGTCTGTTTAGGAGGACTCGGGCGATAATCTTACCAGCTACGGACAGCAGCGAGATCCCACGGTAGTTGCCACAGTCTGATTGGTCTCCCTTGTTCTTTTAAATATTAACGATGGAGGCATGTTTCAGAGCTTGGGGGAATGTCTCCCTTTCACATAAATTCTCCAGGAGAGAGTAAAGACGGCTGGTAAGCAGAGGTCCTCCTGCTTTATACACCTCGGCCCTAAGGCTTTGTTATTTTTTATCTGTTGATGGCAGTTGCTACCTCATCCAGGGATGGGGGATAGCTGAGATGGGTCAGCTCTGGATGCTGAGGGACCTGTTGGGTGTCAGGACATCCACATCGGTGTTTCGGTTGAGCAGTGAATGACAGTGCTCTTTCCAGTTCATCGATTTTTATTATGGAGTTACCGTCGGATGAACAGAAGGGGGCTGCGCCACGAGTGATTGGCCCAGAAAATGTTTTAATGGATTAAACAATACGCGCTTCTTGTGCTGATCTGCATTTTTTTGTGTTTCACACGCTTTATTTTTAAATCAGTCGTTTTTTAGTTTGCGAAGTTCCCGCTGGGCTGCCGCTTTCTTCTTGCGGAAGGTATCATCCTTGGTCCGAGATTGAGGGTTGTTTCCTTTACACACACACACACACACACATACATCTTATATTTTATGGATGTACAGGCCCAGACAAAAGTTATTGATACAGTCTCGCAATGTTTCTCAAACTGGGGGCCATGACCCCCTAGGGGCCACGGCAAGATTTAGGGGGCCATGTCGGGCTAGTGTACGTAGTATATGTTTGGAGAAAATGTGGAAACTGTGATTCAACTTTTTTCTTTGTTACTTTGCCTTGTTAGGGGAGAATTCTTTTTATTTTTTATTTATCTTTTGTTTTTTGTCATTGTGTGTAATGATAATACCCGTACGGTACAGTTTACACAGTATGGTGCAGCAGCTAGTTTTTCATTTCCAACGGATTCGCTCAGATTGCACGATTCTAGTTCCTGTCAGCAGGGTGACGGGCGCTGGACTGAGTCACTGATCTCACATATTCTTTGCATGTCCGTGTGTCATCGCTTTACAAGTGATCAGACCGAATGTTCTCAGTCTGACTCAAGATATCATTAAGAAAATATGTGAGTGTACGGTGAGTGGACTGTATGTGTATGTTTTACTTATGATTGCATAGGCATTTTATGTATGTTTACATACAGTATGTATGGACTTCATGCATGTTTGTGTGTTTACCATTCGAATTATTTTCTCATTTTGGTTTTTTATTATAATTTTTAGTCTTTATCATTTGTTGTTTCTGTGACATTCTGGTTTTTTTAAAGAACTAGTCAACATTTAGAGAGATTACAAATTTTCAGTAAAACCAAGAGATTCATGATTGTCTTATATTTCTGTTTTTTATTATAATTTTTAGTCTTTATCATTCGTCTGTTTCTGTCTGTTTGGCATTGTTCTTTTTATAATTTCCTTAGAATTGCGATGGCTGCCAGTGTTGCTAAGAAGCGGAAGTAAATGATGAATACATTAACTACGGAATTACATCAATCCTCGCTGATGGCATCGAGAAACCTCAGTGTGTGTTGTGTTTCAAAGTGCTGGAGAACGATACCATGAAGCCGAGTAAGCTGAAGCATCATCTGACGACAATCCACCCCCCAGTATAAGGAGAGAGACACCGATTTCTTCAAGCGCCATGAACGGAGTTTGGGAAAACAAAGAGTGGATGAGAGTGGTGCCTTCCAACAACCGATCTTAAGTGTAGTTGAGACATCATATGAGGTTTCCATTGAAATAGCAAAGAAGAAGAAGGCCCACACGATTGGTGAAACTTTAATTAAGCCGTGTTCCTTAAAGATGGTCAAGCGGGTTCTTGGAGAGGCAAGTCAACGTAAGATTCAGCAGATTTCCTTGTCAGTCTACACGGTGAAACGGAGAATTAGTGAAATGTCAGATGATATCATGGAACAAGTGATACAGGAGATTAAATCATCTCCAACTGGTATGTTTGCAATACAGTTGGATGAGTCAACGGGTGTGAGTTCTTGTGCACAGCTACTCGTGTTTGTTAGGTATGTATTCTTGAGTGACATCAAGGATGAATATCTGTTCTGTACACAGCTTGAAACTACCACAACAGCTTTAGATGTGATGGGAAAGTTGACTTATTTCTTCACAGCTAACAGGATCACATGGAAAAATTTGTTGTGGAGGCTGTACTGATGGGACTCCGGCGATGCTGGGATCGAAATCGGGATTACAGAAGCACGTCAAGGAAGTAGCTCCGAGTGCCAAAGGGGTTCATTGTATGATCCATCGTTTTGCACTGGCGGCGAAAACCTTTCCTGATGCCCTTTGCAAGATCCTGGAGGTAGTGGTAAAATGCGTCAACTTTGTGAAAACAGGAGATTTGAACTCTCGCCTTTTCCAGAACCTTTGTAGAGGCATGGATTCAGAGCATGAAACCCTCCTCTTTTACTCCAAAGTGCGAAGGCCTTCCACCGGTAATGTTGTGTTCGAACTTCGGGGAGAACTTAAGTTGTTCCTGGAAATGAAAGGGAAGGATGATCTACTAAGTCACTTCAACGAGGTGTCGTGGGAGCCACGTCTTGCGTACCTGGCAGACACATTTGAGCAGCTAAACAGGCTGAATCTCAAGCTGCACGGCAAGGAAATAAATGTATTTCACCACATGGATTGTATTCGTACATTTCTTGACAAACTCCAGAACTGGCAAAGGAAAGTCAGTGCAGGAAATGTTGCCATGTTTGAAAATATCTCAATTGTTCTTGACGAGATTGTAGAGGATCATCTACTTGACCCATCACTCAAAAATGAAATAATTCAGCACTTGAAATCCTTGGAAAGTGAGCTCAAAAGGAACTTCCCAGTGGCCCAAGGTTAAAAATGCTTTGAAAACCTTTGATCTAGATGTATGATAGTTATTTAGTGGGTCCCTTATTTTTGGCCTGACCTGACTAGTCACGTCACCCCCCTTCTCTTAAGCTCCTCTACGTGTGTGTTGATGTGGGGATTAGTGGATGACATCATTATGACCTGACCTCATGTTTTTAAGGTCACCCTGTACATTTAAGCCTCTCTCTGTCCATGTAATCCAGTTGCCTCTAGAAAAGATCTCTTGAATAAAGACTTAGCTAAGTGCTCCGTTGTTTCAACACTGTGATTTTATATATATGTATATATATATATATATATATATATATATATATATACACATATATATATATATATATATATATATATATATATATATATATATATATATATATATATATATATATATATATATATATATATATATATATATATATATATATATATATATATATACACATATATATATATATATATATATATATATATATATATATATCCGAAATTATTACATAAACAATGGAGTTGCAAAATAACCCAAATTAGCCTGTCAGGCTGTGTTGCCGTGACCAGTAACGTAGCCTATTCACTACTTTTAATTGTTGCTTCTATACTGCAGCAACTAAAAGTATATTTAACATTTCTTTCGAATTAAGAGAAGGAAGATTCACGTTAATTAGAGGAGTGAAATTGGCGAATCGTGTGCCCAGAGGTGCCAAATTACTTAGCAAAATCAGTGCCAAAAAATATTGTCATTTCTAAGTTAACTATGATTCTTAAACTTAAAAATATAATTAATATAAAATAGGAAATAATAAAGAAATTTTCATTGTATGGAAAGTTTGGAGTAATAGTTTCAAGATTTAGCAACAAATTCCAAGTCCAGGTAGTGGCTCCATTATTTGACCTTACATTATGGTGAGCTTAAACTGATCATGGGAATACTACAAGGTAAGACGAGAATTGGTTCGAGACCTTGTGACATACTTGCCGGACAGGCTACAGGCCGTCAATTAAAGGAAGGCAGCTGGACTGAATTTTGAATGAATAATTTTCGAAACAACATGCATTATGCATAGTTTTTATAACATAAAGAATAGATTGTTTGAATCATTGTTTTACCTTTCCTTAACTGCAATATTTACTAAGGTATTGATTGAGTCTATAAAACATTAGCTATGTAATATTTATGGTTACCTATCCGAGCATAAATAATAATAAAATAAGGTCATACTTATTTTACTTTATTTTTCCACCGTCCCCAATCAATTGCATTGTGACCCACCTCTTGTTGTAACACACTTTTATATTAATTGTGTCGCTCATATGGCAGCTATACTCCCATCGTGTTATCCATTGTTGGGATCAACCTGAGGATCCATGCAGTAGACCCTATGATAAGGTCATTATGATGGAGGGTTATAAAGCATTCTCTTATGAATCATATTATTCCCCACATTCATGCTTAATACAGTATACTGATTACCATTTTCAAGGAAAATACAGCTTGGAGAATTCTGATGTTATCTTTATGAACACCAGCCACCAAGACACACTATACTCTCCACTGCGTCTTCCGCATTATAAAGATTATTTAATGATTATGTAATAATGATCTAACCTACAGTACTGTATTATGACAAAAATATTAAACTTGATTGGGTAAATTGTTTAGTGAATATATTAAACAAAACAATGACATCCTTTCCCAGTCCTTATTGAGAAACGGAAGTAAATTAAAGGTCGAGTTTTGAACTGCTTGGGTGCTTGTTTTTGTGTTGGGGACGATGATCAGACAGTGGAGCCCCTGTCCAGTAAGGATGAGCGAACAATGCACCTTCCACCTTGACTGTATCACGAACTTCGGTCCGGGGGACTGTACTACTTAATGTCTTTTTTTTGTATATCCGAGTATGGCTGCTGTATTTTCCAATGAACCAATTATTATTATTAATATTATTATTATTATTATTAGTTAAAATATGACGGCAACTAAAATGTGGTGGAAAATTAACTCATGATATCAGAATCCAGAATAAACCTTGAGCAAATCATGGTCAGGGGAGAGTTAACAAGTGTTATTAAATATATTAACTCGACAACTTGATCACGTCCACATTTAAAGTTTCTCCAATGGGAACCTAATGCAATGGGAAACTATCTGATAGTATTCACGTTTTTGAAGAGCGAAATTTATAAATTAAAGGGCAAAATAACCATTCCGTCCACAGCCAATATCAATTTCAGTTTATGATATTAAAACTTAATCACATTAGCAGCTTAAGAGTCAGTTGGCAGGTATCGGAAACGCACCAGCTCCTGAATGTGTCTGTGTTTATGAAGCCTAAATTTAAGAGTTCACATTTACTGCTCTCATTACATTCGCTAGTAACTGTTTCATATGCTAACTACTCTTGAACTCCAAATAATCCGTAGTCATAACTTTGAGTCGAGATAAAGAAACAAACGGACGAAGATACATACAAATTTCGATTAATTATACATTAAATATTGACGGCGCTAAGGACTGCAGGAGTAATTTACAGCGCCTAATGTTCCTCTCTCCATTTGTATTGACAAGCTGGTGGAAGCTAAGACGTTAGAGGTGTCTCCGTCTTCTGTTTACTATTTGTGGTGTGAGGGATACAAGAATATATGTATATACTTTAAGACGAACACAAACACAAGAAAAATGTGTACTAGCCTCATAGTTCTCATTGAGTGCAGTTTGATCAAAGATTACATTGTTCCAGGACTTGGGCAGGAGGATTTTGATACGTCTGAAGAAAGCTCTCCTGCGGGTGGCTTTGAAGAGGTCATCTGAAGCTTTTGTCAACGTCTCCTGTTGAAGAAAGTGAACAGTTTATCTCTAGAAAGATAAAAAAAAACAGCTTTCAACTACTTAAACAACTTCTTAAGGGTCGGTCATACCAAGTGTTCAGAGGCAGAACGATATTGTCTTTGGAATGTGATAATAATAATAATAATAATAATAATAATAATAATAATAATAATAATAATAATAATAATAATAATATTAATAATATTAATAATAATAATAATAATAATAATAATAATAATAATAATAATAATAATTATAATAATAATAATAGTAATATTAATAATAATAATAATAATAATAATAATAATAATAATAATAATAATAATAATGATAGTAATATTAATAATAATAATAATAATTATAATAATAATAATAATAATAATAATAATAATAATAATAATAATAATAATAATGATAATAATAATAATAATAATAATAATAATAATAATAATAATAATAATAATGATAATAATAATAATAATAATAATAAACGGTTTATTGGTAGAACATGGCAGCCACTGGAGAGCCAAATGGCACAAAGAGTTGCTTAAAATGCTTATGGGTTCAGTTGAAATTCGATAAAGCCCTCATTAATTAGGTGTAGCGTTGGTTTAAGGTTTTGTGAAATGATATAACATTTTAATAGTTTAATGGTTAAAATGTATTTTACAATATGGAATATGGACATGGGATTGGTTAACTTAGTACAGGGTTGGCCAACCTTTTGTGTGATGTGATCTACCTTTTCCACGGTTACCCTGATGTGATCTACCAGCCTACTATTCACCCATAACTCCCACCCCTCCCCTCCCCCTTCCAATACCATAAAATACGCAGATTCGTAGAGAGAGAGAGTTATTTGTCAATAACTGTTATGATATATTGTTAACATGACAAAAGCATACACTTACTTTACTAATGAGATGGTTGGCACTGCATGTTGTCTGCCAGTTTTGTGTAACTAGGACTGGAGGCGGTGACTGCTATCTTCAAGTAAGCCTCCAGGTGTTCATCTGACATTGTTGATCGGTATTTGATGTGTTTCATGTGTGAAAATGTTGATCACAAAGGAAGGTTGATCCAAAAAATGCTGCTAGGCACATGGCACATTTTCTGACATTGGGATATATTTCTTCACTGAGAAGGTTCCAGAAACTTCCTCTTGCCCTGGATTTGATCTGAATGTCATTTTGAATTTTTAGAAGCTCATGTTCGACTTCAGAAATGTCCATGTTAAATACTGATGCCATTCTAGATGCAACATGTTCAACATTTGTGTCTTTACCAAACATAAAACACATATATGTTATAACAGGTTCTATTGTTGCTATATCTTGAGACCGTCTGTCTAAAGCTGAGGCAAGGTATTGCACCTGTTCACTATATATCAAGCATTGTCAAACTGGTCACAGTCTTTTCCTTGGTTGTCTAGTTCAAACATCACATTTATGAAGTTTCGTAGTTGATGTTGATGCAACTGCGGAGACACTAGTTTTAGTTCCTGTTTGAAAGCAGCCACAGCACTATTCAAGTCAACTATAGTTTTATCTTTTCCAGATCTAAGGTTAGTTTATGCAGCATAGCAGTCATGTCAACTTAAAAAGCTAAATCTTCGTTGCGATCAGAAGGCCG